CTCAAAAAATAATAACGGAAACTTAAATTTTTTTTCATTTTATGTTTATATGAGTAAGTTTACACAAAATGAGTCAAAAAAATATAATATTTTTAAAATCCCAAAAATCTTAATATTTTTGACTAAACTGAGAATTGACATCATAACTCAAAAAATAATGACGGAAACTTATTTTTTTTTTCATTTTATGTTTATTTGAGTAGGTTTACACAAAATGAGTCATAAAAATAAAATATTTTTAAAATCCCAAAAATCATAATATTTTTGACTAAACTGAGAATTGACATCATAACTCAAAAAATAATGACTGAAACTTAAATTTTTTTTCATTTTATATTTATATGAGTGTAGGTTTCACAAAATGAGTCATAAAAATAAAATATTTTTAAAATCCCAAAAATCTAAAAAATTTTGACTAAAGTGAGAATTGACATCATAACTCAAAAAATAATGACGAAAACTTAATTTTTTTTTTCATTTTATATTTATATGAGTAGGTTTACACAAAATGAGTCAAAAAAATAAAATATTTTTAAAATCACAAAAATCTAAATATTTTTGACTAAACTGAGAATTAACATCATAACTCAAAAAATAATAACGGAAACTTAAATTTTTTTTTCATTTTATATTTATATGAGTGTAGGTTTCACAAAATGAGTCATAAAAATAAAATATTTTTAAAATCCCAAAAATAATATTTTTGACTAAACTGAGAATTAACATCATAACTCAAAAAATAATGACTGAAACTTAAATTTTTTTTCATTTTATATTTATATGAGTGTAGGTTTACACAAAATGAGTCATAAAAATAAAATATTTTTAAAATCCCAAAAATAATATTTTTGACTAAACTGAGAATTAACATCATAACTCAAAAAATAATAACGGAAACTTAAATTTTTTTTCATTTTATGTTTATATGAGTAAGTTTACACAAAATGAGTCAAAAAAATAAAATATTTTTAAAATCCCAAAAATCTTAATATTTTTGACTAAACTGAGAATTGACATCATAACTCAAAAAATAATAACGGAAACTTATTTTTTTTTTCATTTTATGTTTATTTGAGTAGGTTTACACAAAATGAGTCATAAAAATAAAATATTTTTAAAATCCCAAAAATCATAATATTTTTGACTAAACTGAGAATTGACATCATAACTCAAAAAATAATGACTGAAACTTAAATTTTTTTTCATTTTATATTTATATGAGTGTAGGTTTACACAAAATGAGTCATAAAAATAAAATATTTTTAAAATCCCAAAAATAATATTTTTGACTAAACTGAGAATTGATATCATAACTCAAAAAATAATGACGGAAACTTAATTTTTTTTTCATTTTATGTTTATATGAGTAGGTTTACACAAAATGAGTCAAATAAATAAAATATTTTTAAAATCCCAAAAATCTAAATATTTTTGACTAAACTGAGGAATTGACATCATAACTCAAAAAATAATGACGGAAACTTATTTTTTTTTTCATTTTATATTTATATGAGTAGGTTTACACAAAATGAGTCAAAAAAATAAAATATTTTTAAAATCCCAAAAATCTAAATATTTTTGACTAAACTGAGAATTAACATCATAACTCAATAAATAATGACGGAAACTTAAATTTTTTTTCATTTTTGTTTATATGAGTAAGGTTACACAAAATGAGTCAAAAAAATAAAATATTTTTAAAATACCAAAAATCTAAATATTTTTGACTAAACTGAGAATTAACATCATAACTCAAAAAATAATAACGGAAACTTAAATTTTTTTCATTTTATATTTATATGAGTAGGTTTACACAAAATGAGTCAAAAAAATAAAATATTTTTAAAATCCCAAAAATCTAAATATTTTTGACTAAACTGAGAATTAACATCATAACTCAATAAATAATGACGGAAACTTAAATTTTTTTTCATTTTATGTTTATACGAGTATTTACACAAAATGAGTCAAAAAAATAAAATATTTTTAAAATCCCAAAAATCTAAATATTTTTGACTAAACTGAGAATTGACATCATAACTCAAAAAATAATGACGGAAACTTAAATTTTTTTCATTTTATGTTTATATGAGTAAGTTTACACAAAATGAATCAAAAAAATAAAATATTTTTAAAATCCCAAAAATCTAAATATTTTTGACTAAACTGAGAATTAACATCATAACTCAAAAAATAATAACGGAAACTTAAATTTTTTTTCATTTTATGTTTATATGAGTAAGTTTACACAAAAATGAGTCAAAAAAATATAATATTTTTAAAATCCCAAAAATATTAATATTTTTGACTAAACTGAGAATTGACATCATAACTCAAAAAATAATGACGGAAACTTAATTTTTTTTTCATTTTATGTTTATATGAGTAGGTTTACACAAAATGAGTCAAAAAAATAAAATATTTTTAAAATCCCAAAAATCTTAATATTTTTGACTAAACTGAGAATTGACATCATAACTCAAAAAATAATAACGGAAACTTATTTTTTTTTTCATTTTATGTTTATTTGAGTAGGTTTACACAAAATGAGTCATAAAAATAAAATATTTTTAAAATCCCAAAAATCATAATATTTTTGACTAAACTGAGAATTGACATCATAACTCAAAAAATAATGACTGAAACTTAAATTTTTTTTCATTTTATATTTATATGAGTGTAGGTTTACACAAAATGAGTCATAAAAATAAAATATTTTTAAAATCCCAAAAATAATATTTTTGACTAAACTGAGAATTGATATCATAACTCAAAAAATAATGACGGAAACTTAATTTTTTTTTCATTTTATGTTTATATGAGTAGGTTTACACAAAATGAGTCAAAAAAATAAAATATTTTTAAAATCCTAAAAATCTAAATATTTTTGACTAAACTGAGGAATTGACATCATAACTCAAAAAATAGTGACGGAAACTTATTTTTTTTTTCATTTTATATTTATATGAGTAGGTTTACACAAAATGAGTCAAAAAAATAAAATATTTTTAAAATCCCAAAAATCTAAATATTTTTGACTAAACTGAGAATTAACATCATAACTCAATAAATAATGACGGAAACTTAAATTTTTTTTCATTTTTGTTTATATGAGTAAGGTTACACAAAATGAGTCAAAAAAATAAAATATTTTTAAAATACCAAAAATCTAAATATTTTTGACTAAACTGAGAATTAACATCATAACTCAAAAAATAATAACGGAAACTTAAATTTTTTTTCATTTTATATTTATATGAGTAGGTTTACACAAAATGAGTCAAAAAAATAAAATATTTTTAAAATCCCAAAAATCTAAATATTTTTGACTAAACTGAGAATTGACATCATAACTCAAAAAATAATGACGGAAACTTAAATTTTTTTCATTTTATGTTTATATGAGTAAGTTTACACAAAATGAATCAAAAAAATAAAATATTTTTAAAATCCCAAAAATCTAAATATTTTTGACTAAACTGAGAATTAACATCATAACTCAAAAAATAATAACGGAAACTTAAATTTTTTTTCATTTTATGTTTATATGAGTAAGTTTACACAAAAATGAATCAAAAAAATATAATATTTTTAAAATCCCAAAAATATTAATATTTTTGACTAAACTGAGAATTGACATCATAACTCAAAAAATAATGACGGAAACTTAATTTTTTTTTCATTTTATGTTTATATGAGTAGGTTTACACAAAATGAGTCAAAAAAATAAAATATTTTTAAAATCCCAAAAATCTAAATATTTTTGACTAAACTGAGAATTGACATCATAACTCAAAAAATAATAACGGAAACTTACATTTTTTTTCATTTTATGTTTATATGAGTAGGTTTACACAAAATGAGTCAAAAAAATAAAATATTTTTAAAATCCCAAAAATCTATATATTTTTGACTAAAGTGTGAATTAACATCATAACTCAAAAAATAATAACGGAAACTTAAATTTTTTTTCATTTTATGTTTATATGAGTAGGTTTACACAAAATGAGTCATAAAAATAAAATATTTTTAAAATCCCAAAAATCTAAATATTTTTGACTAAACTGAGAATTGACATCATAACTCAAAAAATAATAACGGAAACTTAAATTTTTTTTCATTTTATGTTTATATGAGGAAGTTTACACAAAATGAATCAAAAAAATAAAATATTTTTAAAATCCCAAAAATCTAAATATTTTTAACTAATCTGAGAATTGACATCATAACTCAAAAAATAATGACGGAAACTTAATTTTTTTTTCATTTTATATTTATATGAGTAGGTTTACACAAAATGAGTCATAAAAATAAAATATTTTTAAAATCCCAAAAATCTAAATATTTTTAACTAAACTGAGAATTGACATCATAACTCAAAATATAATAACGAAAACTTAAATTTTTTTTCATTTTATGTTTATATGAGTAAGTTTACACAAAATGAGTCAAAAAAATAAAATATTTTTAAAATCCCAAAAATCTAAATATTTCGACTAAACTGAGAATTGATATCATAACTCAAAAAATAATGACGGAAACTTAAATTTTTTTTCATTTTATGTTTTTAATCCAAAGTAAAGAATTATGCTCCTATTATTCATATTTTTTTTAATTAAAAACTAAATTTGTAATATATTACGCCATCTAACGAAAATATATTTATGATTTTTTTAATATATATGAATGATTTATTTTCTATGTAACATATCTGTTCTATACATATTTGAAATTTATGGACTACAATTTCTTCTATATTTTCTTTTATTTATTTAGATAAAATTATGTTTGGATAAATTTGATTTTCATAATAAAAACATTTTATTTTTATTTTTAAAATAAATCTGCTATAAAATAAAAATAAATTATACCTGTCTATTTTCAGTTTACCTGTCCATTCTCAGTTTAAATATTTTTATTTAAATAAAAATAAAATTTACCTGTCTATTCTCAGTTTACCTATCCATTCTCAGTTTACCTGTCAATTCTTAGTTTACTTACACCGATCAATATATTTCTTAAATGCATCATTTATAATTTAGTAGATTATTCTCAATGACTATATAATAATTCTATCCAGAATAATTTCAATAGTAATACAATATCCTTCCACAACATCAAAACCAGAAAAGTATAAATATTCATGGTATTTATTTGATATAAAGTCACTTTTGAATCTTGAACGTATAATCTTAAAAAAAATTTCCTCTGGGGGGGGGGGGCGTCTCCATAGCTATGCCACTGCTGTGATATGTAAAATTTTCATAAATTTAAAATAAACTGTATCTGTATCTTTTGTCAAGAAGATGAAAAAGATAAATGATTCTTTTCAGAATAAAGAATCTTAGATACAGATACTCTTATCTTATTAAAATGTGAAAAAGTCAAAAAGATATTGAGTACAAGATACAAAAGGATCTTGTATCTTAGATAGGTACTGCCCATCTCTGAGTATATCCGAGTCATATATGTATTTACATTTAATAAAGATCTTATCAAACTTGTCAAATCTGACAATTTATGTGATTAAAAATAAATTCCATGAATCTTAATAAATTAAGAATTTGATTAACTTGATAATAAGATTAGAAGATACATATTTCAAAATTTATATCGTGATTAGAAGGGTTAGAAATATATTCGAGAATTACCTTAGGTAATAAAAAATTATATTATAATTAAAGTTTCTTCAAAATTTTAGGTTAATAATGATTTTAGGCAGCATTTTTTTGACATGAGATTAAAAATTATAGAAAATGTTTTGTAATTAATTCTACCATTCCTAATAAAATTATTTGTTTTATAAATTGATTTGATCTTAAATTTATATTACCAACAAACAATACCCAAATCGGACCTGCAGAGGTTAAAATTTCAGGCATTCCCAAGATTTTTAAAAAGTATTGCCTGGCCTAAAACATCTCAACTGAAATCCTTTAAATTTAATTATTTTTGATAACTTAGCAGTTTCAAGATAAAGCTAAATATATAACCCTTAAATGAATATTTGACTCCTCATTGTATACTGGGTTTGCACATTTTCAAAAATGTGCATTCAAATATAATACAAGTACATTTTGAACAAATATACCCACTAAAAAAAATATTTAAATATAAATACAAGTATATTTTGAACAAATGTACTTAAAATATTAAATACCCACTAAAAAAAGTATTTAAATATTAATATAAGTATATTTTGAACAAATGTATTTAAAATACTAAATTCCTACAAAAAATTTTTGAAAAAAGTATTTAAATACTTTTGCAAGTCAATTTTTATACTATCACTAATAATTATTTTACTTATACAATTTTTTTTAAAATTAATAATCATTTAAAATTCTAACAATTAGATAAATAATATCACCATATTGAAACATTTCTGCATTAATACAAATAATAAAAAAATAGTATATTTATTGCAGCAGTAGCATATATAGATGATATTATATTTAAATATATTACAGTTTTACAGCACATGATAAATAAAGCAAAAATATAAATAATTTAAAATTGCAGAATAATCATTTTTCTAATATGATAGCTCATTATTTTTTAATATATTAAGTTTTTCATATCATTTAATCTATGCCTATTTGGCCTTTAATCAATGTAAAACTAAATAATCTTTCCACTGCAGCAGAAGATGGTAAAATAGAAATATATTTTAAAAGCAGATATATATCTTTGCATTCATCTTTAAAATAATTTAATGTTTTTAAGTCTTTGTTGTTAGATGCATTATAAACATTTATCTATTGTTCAAAACTAAAATGATCATCTCCAACATAAGAAGATGTAATAGCATGCTCCATTGTTTTATTTTCTTTTTGAATTACAGGGGCTTCATCTCACCATATACTATCCATCTTTTTTTTAAATTGGGATGTAAAAAAGTTGAAGTTCCTCTTATACTCAGCATCACATTTAAATAATGACCAAACCATTCAGTCATCTCATTACCGCAAGTAACTTACAATAATGTTAGCTAGATATTAATTTTTTAATATCTCATTTTATGACAAGCTTGCAATGATAACACTTATTTTAACCTTATAATTTGTCAATTCTTACCTAGTAATGTAAGTTTTTTAAAACTGAGAGACATTCATTACTATCATACACACTATTCCAACGAGTTACACAATAAAGTTTAATAACGAAACAGGAGATAAAAGCAAAACTTTATTTTCAAATATAATATCACTGAAATTTATATAATCATTAAAAATAAAATATAATAAATATATAAGTTTTAAAATATAATTTTTTAAATCATTTTTTGCATTCTAATAATATTTTACACTTTTATTAAATCAGTACCACTACAATCGATCGTTGCACTTGGTTTCATATGTCGTTTATTATCTTATTGATTGTCAGGCTTGCTTATTTCTTTATTGTCTTCATATCTAATTTTTCTTTTTTTCCCTTCTATATGTTTCACCACCTTCTACTTTTCCTTTAAATATATATTTTCAACCTTTGCAATAATATCCTCTTTTACTTCTACCTCCTTTATTTTATCTCTTAAACTTAAAACTTCAGCTAATGTAATATTCCTTAAGTGTATCTGATATTTTTATTAATAGATGATATCCTTTTAAGTGTATCTGATATTTTTATTAATAGATGATATCCTTTTTAATCACTACCGTCCTTGAGTAAACATTATTTCTTAAAACACAAAGACGGCTTACCCAATTTATGCGTTTCATTCTTGCATTAAATAAAACTAAACTGGCATTCGTTGGTTTTTTTGGATGCAATAATTAAAATTTTTCAATCAAAATCGTTCAGCTAATAAAGCCCGTCAGCCAGCATATAGCTTTCACCTTAACACACTCGCCATCAGGTAATCTCGTAAATGATCCAGCCTTGCCGATATATGAAATTAGTATCTTTAAATATATCCTCAAACCTGCTTAAAAATAAATCTCCATTAGCCGAAAATATCGGAAATTCGAAACTTATGCTATTATTTATTAACTAATTGTTTCATTTTCATTTATTTATCGAATTTTTTATTAATTATACATTAATTATGTTCTTTCTTATTTTTTAGCGTTGTTGATGGTAAACCGATTACCCTCTGCGTCCCTGCATTGTGCACCTTGAATATACCGATAAGTAGTTATCATGTCATATAAGTTCATAATAAAAATGCACTCTTTGTTTTCTGTGAATGTGTCATACCAGCCTATGTGATCCAAAGTGACAAGATTGCACTTTTGGGAAGGACCTGTATAAAGGTTTTTGGTAACATATTAAATAAATTTGTGAATTTAATAGATATAGATTATGATATTAGTATACAAAAATTAATCAAGCAATGTATTTTTAAGTTGAATAAAAATTGATCTTGCAAATTGTGTTAGACTACATCTCAAACAAGACACTACACCGAAGATTATACATCCAAAACGAATCCCGGAAAATAAACCCCCGGAAAATAAACCCCCAGGAAAAAAAACACCCGGAAAAAACCCCCAGGAAATTAAACCCCTGGGAATTTTTTTTCATTTTTATAGAATTTAGTTAAGACATAATAATAAAGGTATATTTTTATTTGGCCTACTCTCCATAAAAAAATGCTTAAATAAGAAAAACTAATGTTTAAATTGGTACTGGGAAAAAATGCCTCAGTAAAATAACTATGTATTGTAAAAAAAATTTGCTATAGTAAAAATACAATACCATCTTTAAATATGATATTAAATAGACTAAATTTGACAAAACTTAGAAATAAGAAATGTTTATTTTATTGGTAAATCATGATTATGTATATACAAATTTTATAATTTATAATAATAATTATATTGGTTGACATCGAATATTGAAGGATATCGCTCTTATAAAATCCGGAAGGCTTCGCACCCCATTACGGTATTTTTCGCAAAGTTTCTTTAGCCGAATCTGGTTGTTAGAACTCTGCGATTTTGTTTTCGATGTCCAACTACCTACGCGCCATCTTTCAAGTTTGGTTTCATCGGCAGCCACCTCGCATTTCATTTTTTAAATGAGTACCCAGATTGATGGGTGTTTATTCCCAACCAGATTAGAAAAACGATGATTCCAACCTTCGCATTGATTATTTGTTCGTTCTTCATCTGAGAGAGTGCTTTGATTCACGTTCCAGGCTTCTAGAGGTAATCGAAGCTCAATTCGACGTGTTTGGGATTGAGAATCGCTTCTCATGACCTCCCTTGATACTCCATTGACATAATTTTTATCGAAATAATCAAGAATGTCCTTACCATTGCTCGTAGTAACTGATCTCAGGAATGTCATTGCATTGTCCATATCACATATCGGAACGAATGCTAAGCCGTCCATCATGCCACAAAAAAACTTAGAGTTTCATCGGTCCTGTATTCGCTTTCCAGACCCAGCTTCTGAATTTTTCTATGTGTACTTTGACACAAATGTAAAAACATCCTCTAATTACGATGTGACCCCCTAATCGAAAAAATAAATATATATTATTAAACATATTAATAATCATACCAATGATACTCTTAACCGCGGTCATAGCAGACTTTTCGAAATCCATGTATATATATTATGGATCAGGAAATAAATCCCTTTCCTGACATTTAGACATTATTGTTTGAAATATTATTTCATATGTACTTTGAGTTTTTTTCTGGAGTACACAATAAACCGCTGTAATAAAAATATTGTTTATTGCTACTCTAATCACCTATAATTGTAGAAAATTTTTTGGGGACATGGCAAAATTACCATCCATATACCACTCTGCCCTATTAGATATTAGATTTAAGGAATCATCTGTTGCGAACATTATTATGCGTTCTTCAGCTTGTGGGCCATTATCAAATAATAAAAATCGTTTTGAGTTCTGGGAGCCACAATTTGCCCAATCACCTATAATATTTAAATTTTTATGAAAATATAATTATATTTAAACTAATACCTTCAATAACTAGGTCTTCCAAATTCTCAAGATTTGAAGGGTGTTGCATTGTTTTGTGATTCCTTAGAGTTCTTTTTACAGAATCTTCCGATAACATATGCGACTGAACTCTTTGGTCTAATTTTACAATTTCCTCTGCTTAAATTTGAAGAGGTTTTGCCAAAGAGTCTGCACATCGCTTCTTTATGTTA